TACATATATATATAGAAAGTTTAAAAACACAAATAATTATATATAGATATAATATAAAGACTTAAAAAAAATATATCTATATATATATATACTTATATAATCTGATAAAGATACAAATAAAAAGATATATGACCCATAAATATACCTTTTCATTTTTAAGCATTACCAGCGATAAAGAAAAATGCATTGACCAGTTACCGGACATCCCGGCCTTGCACCGGACATCTCAAGGCAGGTGCCGGACATCCCAGGTGCCGGACATCCCGGCCTTGCGCCGGACATCTCAAGGCAGGTTCCGGACATCTCAAGGCAGGTTGCAGGACATCCCGGCCTTGCACCGGACATCTCAAGGCAGGTTCCGGACATCTCAAGGCAGGTGCAGGACATCCCGGCCTTGCACCGGACATCTCAAGGCAGGTGCCGGACATCCCAGGTGTGCCGGACATCCCGGCCTTGCGCCGGACATCTCAAGGCAGGTGCCGGACATCCCAGGTGCCGGACATCCCAGGTGCCGGACATCCCGGCCTTGCGCCGGACATCTCGAGGCAGGTGCCGGACATCCCAGGTGCCGGACATCCCGGCCTTGCGCCGGACATCTCAAGGCAGGTGCCGGACATCTCAAGACAGGTACCGGACATCCCGGCCAAGCGCTGGACTTCTTGATGAATAGCATAAAAGATCATAAAAGTAGTCCACGGAGCAAATCGTTAACCCTACCAGTAGCAAACTGGCCCACGGAGTGTTTACGGACCAAATCCTCAACCCTATTGGGTTCGCATTCTTTCCTTCTTCTGAGCAAAGTCAGCTTTAGCAGTAGCTAGCATGCCCATGTTTCTGAATATCTCGCCATAATTTAGCTGGTTCAGAAAATGTCAGCAATATTTCTTCATCTCTACTCATGAGTCTGCAAATCCGCACGAGATGGTTTAAATAAGTTGGCGTGATACCAAAATTTCCAGAATTATTGGCCCGATTAGGATATGTCCATCAATCCATACATAGAAATTCCAAAATCCCTCACTAATACTTTTATGTGTAGAACCCCGTCAACTACCTTGCCATGGTTGGAAAGATACTTGGAAAAATATTGAGGAAGTGATGTACAATCTTCAGATGTATTTCAAAGATAGATCTGCTTGATTGGCTTTGATTCCTGTTCATAAAATGTTGTTTCCTGCAACCCTGTCATTCTGTAGACATTTTTTGGCTCAACAAATTGCCCATTTCGGGATGGGAGGAACCCAGCATCAATCCATGTCTCACAGCTTGGGGTGACCATGAACCCTGGGTGAGGAGTAATTATCTTCATCAATCCGGCTTACCATCCTATACCTCAAGGTGATAACCCATATATATATATATATGTATATATATATATGTATATATATATATGTATATATTTATATGTGTATATATATATATATATATGCGTGTATATCCCATGTCAAATGGCTTCCCATAACCACTGTTTAACATGGATCATCCAATTCCTGTCGAAAGCGGTGCCTGACGCATCCTCAGTGTGACATGTGTGTCACTGGCACTGAACATAAAAAAAGCTGGGGAACCATTGGCGGTAAAAATGGCAAACCATGGCAAAGTGGCAAACGGTTAAAACCATGAGTAATAGTTTGTAATTGAATCAAAGTAATATTTAACAGTAATGTTTAGTTAAAACCATGTTACAATTAAAAATGTACAACTGGCATGTACATGTCATAGTAAAATGTAATCATATCAGAATCATAAGAGTGTGTGGTGAACATTCATAGCAAATGCCAGAAAATAATCACCAAGAGATATCAACAAATGGAAATGAACATGGTAAATCCTGATGACCGGCTGCACCAACTTGTGGACTCTAGGCCGGATAAATCGAGAATGGTTTTATGGTTTTACTAAGCCCGCTCTTCAGGTGAATAAAACAAATGTGCATGCAAAAAAAACATTATTGTGTTCACTAAAATGTCAACATATATCTATGGTCTATGGGTTTACCTTAGCACATGGCAAAACTATATGAAATATGAATTCTGAACAATTGAAGAAATACAGTTCCTGGCGCCCCCTCAAAGCGAAACGGTTTCTTCGTTGAGATCTTAGCACAAAAAGGTCAGGTGTCCGAAGAGAACCCAGCTGGTTCCACGTTTGAATTGTGGGATTGACACTGTAGGTCTACAATAGCTATATTGTAGATCTGTTTCTTGTTGCATGTTCATCTCGTTGGTGGTATACCCCTCTGAATAATATGACTTCGTCAGTTGGGATTATGAAATTCCCAATCTATGGAAAGTCAAAAAAATTCCATGGTTCCAGTCACCACCAGTCATTGTAGATCTACCTACAGTAGCTAACTTCGTTTTTTGGGGCCGATTAACCAACCATGACTGGGGGCTGTGCAACCAAGTGACATTTGTTTGTGAAGACACTCGACCATTGCTTTTTGCTGTCCCTGCGCGCAAAAAAAATCGTGTGGTGCTGGGATCATTTGCTCACAGTTGGGGGGAACGTCTAGTCAAAATAAACAGGCCATACTTGGCATGGAAATTATTGGCTTATTGGGCAAATCGGTGGGGCAAATGTTTGACGCACACGATCTGGTTATGCGTCTGTGCTGGACCTTAAAAACTTGGTTCTAATTGCTGAAGAGGCTCTGTTCTATAGAATATACGTGTACACACGCACTGCATTTCTATGTAGTCCATTGTAGTCCTACAGTTATGGCCCTTTTCGCAGTTTTAACTATCTCAGAAAGCCTCAGGTGTTTGGTTTTTCTTCAGTGCCCACAACTGTTAAGGGCCGTCAATCTCCAGTACGCACTCTGTCCATGAAGAACACCCGAAAAAAATCCACGATGCCTTTATAAAAATCCCCAACGTTTGAGGGCAACATATGTTCAATGGCCATTTCAGGTACCTAACTTGGAGGTACCTACCATACGTAAGGCCTATGTAAGCGCTATGTAGGGGGATATGGTTTTATACTATACAGTACTTCTATCATAGGTTCTTGAAATTCCCATTGATGTTTGGAAAAAAACGCACGAACAGGGATTGATAGAGCTATGGGACGTTACATTTGCATCACTTGTTTTTGGTCTATGGCTCTATGGTGATATACCCATGTTGGGAGGCCAAACTCCCCATTATTGTTGGCCAAACGTATTGGAAAAAAAACGTGTGCTGACATGATACCTCCATATCATAATATCCACAAAAGGTGGTTTCAGCCCCCTTATATCATGTTATATCATGGTATATCTCACTGTATCCCCATGTGGCAGTGTGTCAAAACCTTGTACCCCTGGTGAACATCAAAATAGCTGGTACATGGATGTTCATCCCATTAAAAATGGTATTGATAGGTATTGATCCATACCCATGTGTATTTTCTGGTTCACAAAAGCTTCAAGTCCCGCACTTGCCAGCGCCCTTCTGCTGTGGTGCCCCCGGGCCAGGGGAATTTTCCACCTCCTCAGGGGCGAGAGTCAAGTCACCAAGCAATTTCATGCATTTTCGGAAGGAAAATGAACATCAACCACTAAAAAAGGGGGTTACTTACTTTTTTTGCAGCTAATCTTACTGCAAGAAAAACACATCTTACTGCAAGACCCTATGCTTTGCCAGGAACTGGAAATGCTTTTGATGATGATGATGATGATGATGATGGTGACCTATGATGATGGTAATGGTGATGATGATTCATGAGTCATGATTCATGATTGCGGTTTGCTTGATTGATCATGAGAAGTTTTAGATTTTCCATTAAAAAACTCTAAACAAAACCTAAATGCGGGATGGTTAACTGTTCCATGGGGGTGGCAGACTTCATATAGCCCTAATGGAATCTCTTTTGTTTGAGCTCCTTCAAAAAATCATTGGTGTTGACACTATTCTGTTCGTGGGAATAATATGGACGTTAGTCTTAGATATCAATATATATATATATGATATTGATAGTAATCTTAGATGCCCTACAACAAAAAAATGTTTATGGTATATGAATGTCCCCATTTATGGCAATATATTGACGTATTCAAGTATATACACATCCAAGGGTTACCCAGAAACGCTCGTGGCATCTTGCTAGGCTAGTAAAGGCGAGTAAGCAAGGAAAGTACATCATACCTATCAGTGGCTGCGAGTTGCAAATCGTAGTAAGCAAATGAGTGTTTGTTAGATTTTAGATTCAGCTGATTACTCATTGCTTTCTTCATAGCATTTGAAGTCAGTGCGAAGCCAGTGACCCACAGATCAATGGTGGGCTTTCCACATTGAAAAAACGACAGCAGTCTAAACATTGGAAACGTCCACATGGCTAGCCTCACAGTAGATACCCAATAGTTTTGGTGCTGCGCTATAACTTACAACATGACCACTGTTACCCTCTGGTAAACTAATGTAACTATGGAAAATCATCATTTTTAATGGGTAAATTCACTATAAATGGCAATTTTCAATAGCAAACTGTTAGTTTACCAGAGGGTACCCAGAGCAAACATGTTTTGCATTTCTTTGGTTGGCTCAACCTGGAACTCTTCACATCGACATGTTCGTCTCAAGCGAATTACGGCCGACTTCAAACTGTGAAACGGGCCCAAATAAAAGGCGGTAGCCCCTTGTTTGCTAAGTTGTTGACACGTAATACAATTGGGGCTTGTGGTGCTGAAAAAACTATTGCTAGATATGGTTTTCAACCAAAAGACATAACATGACATAACTAGGAGGACACCACATTGTATCTGCCTTTGATAGGTCACATCTGCCTATGTCCTATGTCCGAACATCAAACACACACACAGACTGCCAACCGTATCATGTTGCTGTGCACATCTCAACCGGCTCCAAGCACATGCCGAAGCTGATGCGTGGAACACCTTACCAGAAGCAAAAACCGCAAACATCGTGCAAAGCCTGCAAAGCTCCCAGGGAGGTTGCATAGAATGGCATAGAATGGTCACTGAAACAAGTGATTTTTCAGTGCCATTCTCAATCTCTGGGTCATTTTTTGCGGCTCCTCAATGGCAGCACCACTTCGGAACTTGATCTGCGCTGGACTGCTGGGACCTGGAGTTGGTCCTCCACATGCCACTGAGCCATGAAATAGACAGAATACCCCTATCACATCCCGTACTACTGCTTGGTAAACAGCTATTATCTCTTATTCATTCTTATTCGTTGTAGAAAATCACCACACTTCAATACACCAGCTAGTATAAACCCATATACGTATTTATACATCAGCAGTTGGTAAACTTTGATGAGTCAATGAATCACTCCCAGCATTCGCAATGCCAAAGCTGCCTGCAAACGGTGCATCATCAGACTGTGGGCGGCATAGATGCATACCAATGGGCCAATACACTCCATTTTCCTGCTGACCGAGGCTTGTGCTGGGAGGATTTTTCCGTGGAGATGACCAAAACATGATACAGAAAAATAGCCCTCTTCATCCCTTTTCACAGTTAGAACTGGCTCAGAAAACCTCATTTAGGTGATAACAATACATTGGCTGCAGGAGTTATTTCATACTATTTATAACGGTTAAGGGTCATTACTGTGGGGACTGATGGAACTTAGCTAATGAACCGGGGCACAACGAGGGGAATGTCATCCATTTAAACAGTTGAACGCTCGCCACGGAATTGAAGGCATCCAAGCAATGGACCAGTGCACCAGTTTTTTTCTGTGTACCCTCTGGTAAACTAACAGAACTATAGAAAATCACCATTTTTAATGGGAAAATCCACTATAGATGGGCCATTTTCAATAGCTATGTTAAATTACTAGAGGGTATGCTGCATGTGTGTCTCTGTTGCCACTATAGACCGTATGTGTTGAACTGTCTTCGGTTTTTTGGATCAAGTTGTCTTTAAAAAAAATGAGCGATTTACAGCAGCCCCTTCCCTCACGCCTATTCCGTCACGGGGCACGGACACACATCTTTTACAACTGAAGAACACTGTGTTTCAAGACATGTTCAAAAAAGCAACGGCCAAACAGACAAGGGTGGCCTTAGCTTCGATACATCACCTGTTTTGATAGATAAATCGATGATAAAGCATTGAACTCAATGGGACATCCATACAGTGAAATGGCCATGGCAAATGGGGTTATAACTGGTTCTTTCAATGGGATAAAATACATTTTATAAATGGGGTTTTCTTATAACTGCTATAAAAATGGTTATAAAATGTATAACCCCATTGAACTGGTTATAATGATTACTGTTATAGTGACATTTTATAACTGGTTATAACTGCTATTTTGGGCCATATCCATGTCGCAAAATCTGAGGCGATTTTTTTTGGGTGTAAGGCTTCACCGTTTTTGTGGTGACAATCTCCGATGTAAGGCACCGCTTAAAAATAGAAGTGACAAACCTATGATACAAACACATACACTATGCTTATTAATGTGTATGTATTGTATGTATCATAAAAATATGTATCAACTGAAAAACTGTTATCTATAAATCAAACCCGCTAAACGCACGACGTCTCCAGTGCACAAAAAGCATCCAAACGCAAAGTAACAAACTACGCGCAAAACTGAGTGTACAAACGAAACTAAAACGTGAGTAAATAACGTGGTGTGCAATTCGCAGTTGAATGTGCCACGGAGTGGAAAACGCAAAACGTTGAACACCAGGAACCAAACTTAAAAACGTATGGAAAAACGAGTGCAAACTCTCGGACAGCATTCTCTCTTTTTGATCAAACCCGTCATCACCTACAAGTAAACCACCAGCAGCCTGATTCGAAATTCGTGAGTCAACATACCCCCACTTGGCATTCCAAATTATGGCATTGTGTCTGCAAATGAAGCTTGTGTTGCAATACTTGCTGTGTCGACCGGCGTCCACCGGCCGCAGCTCACCACATGCAGATGCCCAGACCGCATTGAAGAGTTTAGTCCCACCAGTGCTGTTCACATCGATGGTATCCATGATCACCTGGTGCGGCACAAAAATTGTCGCAAGTAGCCATAGCACAGATGAAATGGCACTGATCGGCAGGCAATGGGCCGGATGGTGTCGTGGGCGCCGGCACCCTCCATGGATGTGCAGTGGAGGATGCTGTGCCATCAACTGGCATGCCAGCTGCGTCCGCGCCGGTGTCGTCCTCGGCCTCGCCGATTGTGGCTGCCACTTCGATTGGTATATTCAATCGTCTGGTCAGTTCGCACACGAGGGCGATGAGCAAGGATACCAATTGTGGCACTGTGAGGGCTGTAAGTTGAGAAGCGTCCATGGGGATGAACAAAAACTACAACGCGTAGTGGACAAACCCGCCCACCCACCACTAGCCAGGCAACGGTGCAAACGTATAATTAAGTGTGCCAATGTGAAAAACCAAATGGATTCAGTTCGCAAAAAGGAAATGTGCAGCAAACTGGTTTCACAAACAGGTTGCAAAAAACAACGTTAAAAACTCACAAACAAACCGAGGGTCAGGTTCGGTAAAAAGAAGAGGTTGTGTGGTAACCCAGATCAACACAGGCCTTCGGAAACCACGAGGCAGCAACGCGTAGAAAGCAGCGTAAGGACGCGGAGACAGAGAGACGCAAAGACAGGGCGCACGCGTAGCGACGTTGCGTGTGCAAAGCCATGCATTCATGGCAAATAAAGCGCAACTGGTTTGAGGTGTGCAAGATAAAGCATTATCTGCTTTGCAGAAAAGTGCATAAACACCAATAACGTTTATGTATCTCTCTATCTATATATACCTAGAGACTCATGTATCCAAAATTTCGGGCGCATTCCCAACCTACAAAAAAATCAGGCGCAAGTCCACAAGAATGGCGCAATGTAGAAAACATGGCGCAATTCCACAAAAACGGCGCAATGGAAATTCTGCACGGGCAAGGACGGCGCAATCACAGGCAAAAACGGTGCAATCATTGGCAAAAACGGCGCATTCCAACACCAAAATCTAAAACCATATTTGTTTCCCAAAGAACGGCGCATGCCAGAAATTTCAGCGGCAATCAGATGAAACACTGTTTTGCTAGACCAGCATCAAAATTTTGATGCCGCTCGAGTCTCTAGGTATATACAGTATTTACTTAGTATAGTGTTTATGAAATGAACTAATATACTGTCCAAGTTATCTTCTGGTATCAACAGTTCAAGTGCCCACAAGGTGTTGTTTTCCCCTTGGTAACGCCATCTCAATGTGGGTGCCACCTTGCAACCACCCACAGGTTGCGTTGCAAAGGCAGGTTGTTATAGTTATTTCATCACCATCAACCCTAGTGAAATACGAGCTAACTAAGCCAACCTCACAAAAAATACTTCTCACTCTCCATGTTTTGCATTTGTCTGGGCAAATGATAATAATTCACTTACCTGAATAGTCCGGCCATTTTGGGATGATTTCCTTATAAAAACCATGATTCCAGGGCTCGGTCGTTATAATTTACCCAGATTTGTTGATATGTTTGTTGAGTACCCTCTGCTAAACTAACATAACTATAGAAAATCACTATTTTTAATGGGAAAATCCACTATAGATGGGCCATTTTCAATAGCTATGTTAAATTACCAGAGGGTATCTTTGCTGGTTAAGTCCCCATTTTTGTCCATCCACGTTACGACGTTGAACTCCGCCCACGTAAAACGTCGCCCGCGTTACGCCGCTCTCCTGTAGCCTTCGACCCCTTCGCGCGCGATGTCCACCTTGGCTCCAGTGCGTTCTTCGATGCTCCTGGCGAAAACGGATCTGAGGAATAATTAGTATATATATATATTATATGTATATATAATCTATATATGATATATAACTTATAACATATATGATAACTTATATGTGATGTATAACTTGTATATGATAAACGTATATATATATATAATATGACTTATATATGATATATGTCACTAGGGATACTAGGGTTTATGGATGTTTATGCATGTTTATGGTAGATACTTGGACCCTCCAAGTAACCATTAAAAAAAACCACTAATAATAATAGTGATAATAATTATGATCATGATACTAATCATAATGGCAAAGGTACTACAATGTGGCCCTGCCCAATGATAAGTTTGTTCGATAAACCCAATTAAGTATAGTTGTAAGTATAACAAACCATATTAGTTATCGGAGCTGCGTACCCCAACTTAGCTAGGGCGCTCCACTTTGTAGCTCATAATGTATATATATATATATATAAATATACATATATACATATATATATATGTATATTACATATATGATGTATGTCACTAGGGTTTTAGATCCTCCTCCTTTGATCCCTTTGATCCTCGTTGGTTGAGAACGGAGTTCGATCAGTTCATGGATTGCGATCATCCACAATTTCTTGGATAGTATAATATACCCTCCAGTAAATTAACATAGACCCTGCCAGAGAGGGGTTGGAAGACTAGTTTCGACTACAAATTTGTCATTTTCAGGGTCTATGTTAATTTACCAGGGGTAACGATTAATATAACCACCCGGCAATCATCAACCAACCAGGGTTTAGCGGCCACTGCTCAACTGCTGATCAAGGACAGTGGTGGGTTACCTCAGCCCTAGTTTTTATTTGTGTCTGTCAAATTCTGTCAAGTCAAATCACAATTGTTGGGTTTGTTCTTCAAGTTCCCATTTTTTCAGGGCTGCTCCCAACACCCCAGATACACGGAGGGAAATAGGCTATAGGAGAATTATCCGTATTCCTCCCATGATAGGTTGGAGCAAGCCTGTTTTTGCTAGGTTTAATTACCTTTGACTGAAAATTCAGGAGGAACATAAACACAAAAAGTAGGTGCCTAATCACAATCTTCCCTGTTAAATAATTCTATTTTGGGGGGTATAAGGCATACACCACTTTTAGACACATCGAACTTGCCCAGCCCACGGGCTCCGAATGAAGTCACCAGATCTACCAATGAGGGCAGGGACCAACTGCGCCTGCAAACTCGAGATATCTTTGGAACAGCCCAGCCCCTGATAATGTTATATAATCCACCCAAAAAAAAGAAAAGTACATGGTCTCTGGTCTCTATTATCTTTGCAGGATATTTTTGTTCCATCCTTTTCGGGAGTATCTGAAGTTGCAGAAGTTTCTGAACATGTTCTGGGCAGAATGGATTAAATATGTATACACACATGGTTAGATTTTCCTCCAAACTTCGAGCCCTCTTGTTTTTGTTAAACATGTTCTGAAGGTCTTTAAATTTCTTGAACTATCCATCCCGTATTATCGATATTTGAAGTTCCCGCAACTGGTCAAGTCTGCTGCGGCTAGCTCTTGAAGACGAGGATAACTTTCATCCATGTTTGACCTAAGACTGGAATTTGCCCTTGTAATGTCTATATATATATATATCAATGACTATCACCATTTTTTGGAGCTAAATCATCGAACTAAATGGGCCATGTTTCATAGCTATGTCAAGACTGTGGTATTGTTCATTGCTCAAATTCATTGCGGGTCCTGACATGCTCATGCTTCCGATGAGCTTAATTCAATGTGTTTTTTAGTCTGATGGTGCGAGCGTATTGTTTTGGTAACAGCGACATTCCAACCAACAGTAGCTCAGCAGCACTCCTTTGACATCCAAAAACCGGCAAACGACATGTGGCACAGCTGGATTTTGCTGTGAATTCTAAGTGCCCGAACCCCGGAAGTTGAAAAACATGTTTCAGACGTGCAACTATATGTTCTTTGGAATCTTGGAGCCTAAAGTGCTCTACCATGATCAGATCAATCAACTGTTAATTCTTTGAAGGCTCCAAACACTGGTTTGACCACATTTAATTTGTGTTGAACTGCGATTTACAAATATCTTGGATGCAAATCCAAAATGGACAGGGCATGGACGGGTATCGGTTGTTGATGGTTATTGTACCAAAAAGTTGTGGGTTCTTGTAATAAACAGTCATACCCCAGCAAACCAAAGGTAGACGTACTGTGGATGGAAGAAATCCTGCACCACCTTGGATGGTTGAAACCCTATAAATAAGGCTTTCTTTCATCCACAGTAGGACAAAAAAAAGGCTATGGGCTATGGGTCTACCCTGGACACCACTGAGACTCGGGCCGGCAAAGCGCAACTAATCGAATAGGGTAGCCTCAGTTTCAATTCGTTGGATTGGTCGTCCAAGAACCCGGTGGGGAATGCGGGGTACCAGCCCGGTTTCATAGTCATCACAAAAAATGGGGGGTAAACCGCGGGTAAAGCCCGCAAATCAATAATCTAAATCCAGGGTTTACACTGACATCCCATTTTTTTTGGTTCAGCCAAATTTATTGCTGAACCTCAGTGACTCAGGGACCAAACTACCAAACCCTGCCATGGGCACAAAGGTATCACAATACGTACCCAACAACAAGAAGACAGTGGGTGGTTGCAGATCCTATATATATGATATAACATAATATATCATAATAACTATCACAGGCATACCAAAGGCTATATATCTATATGATCATGATATAGTAATATTGTCTTATATCACTACAATAAATAACCTATTTTACAACGTCTCTCAGGTCACAGCTCAGCTGTTCCAGGAGGCATGGAATCCAAATCCTCGCGGCGCGAGTTTATGCTTTCCCCCAGATGACTCAGCCAAACATCCGAAACACGGCTGGGAATGCCAAAAATCAGCCACAATTTAGGCCATGGATATGTTGTGGCTGGATTCATCTGGAAACAATCCATTGAATCCAATTTACAATTGTGTTCACTATGTTCAATATGTTCAATGGATTCAATGAAGCAGGTCTTTGGCTAAGTTTCCAGATGGATGGAACCAGATTGAATCCTGGGCTGACATTGCCCCTCCGAAGCTTTCTTAAGGAGATCTTGGAAGTTCGTGTGCTGCATTCCATGTGATTTCAACCCCCATGTTGAATCAGCTCAGCGTTTCATATCATGGTGGGCCATTGTCCGTGTGCCCCCTTTCCCCAACGCAAAAAACACAACAATGGCCAATTAGTTGGACAAGGATGTGCTTCAGAAGAACTATAGCTGGTTGGTGGTTTGAACCCCTCTGAAAAATGATGGAGTGAAAGTCAGTTGGGATGATTATTCCATTCCCAACTGAATGGAAAGTCATAAAAGCCATGTTCCAGTCACCACCAAGCAGATAGTGACATGGAGGATCTCCGGACTGGAGTTGAACCTCTCCTGGCCCAAGAATCCAAGGCCGCCTGAGACCTGAGTCATTTCCCGGGTAACCACCTTTGGATAGGTAACCAGCGTAATTTAACCTTACTGTGTTGGGGTTGGTTACTCATGAATAAGGTTGGAAGGTCAAATTTAAACCTAATTTAAACCTAATTTATCATGATATACTGGTTGAAAGGACTTCCCAGGTCATGGGCTGCGATAGTTCTTAACCAACAGGGCTTCTGAACACTGCTAAATTTCTTGTTGTGATGACTGCTAATATATCACATGGTTAATCAAATTCATCAGTGGCTTAATCATGATTCTATCCATGTCATGATAAATTCTTGATCATTGCAAAATCTGGCTAAGAAAAGGTTAATTTTTATAGAAGTTAAAGGTCAACTATTAATCATTGGTGACAAGGGACGGTCGGCATGTTAAACTAATAACTTGACATGGAAATGGAAAAGCCACCATGAATGTAGATCATTTTCCATCCTGCTTTGCTAAAAACAACTGGAGGGTGGTCTGAGGGGTGGTCTAGCAGAATGGCAATTGTCACCAGTAGTAACTGACACAGAACATGTAATGGTCAATGTAGCCTGATTCAAGAATTTGGCGCGTCATTCCCAGATGCTCCATCATGTATGGTATATTTACCTACATTTGGGTGATTTTCCGGGCAAATGTTGATACATATTCCATACATGGAGCATATGGGATTGTCTGTGATAACGAAACTGAATCGGTCGACACATCAGTAGTTTCAATAAGAATCTGATCTCCACATTGTGCCATGTGTTCAGTCCTAAGTGAAACCAGCAAACGGAACAACATAATTCACATATAATTATCCAAGCAGGAATCATATTGGTAAACACATTCATGGTATAAACGAGTTGGCAAACAAATGATGATGCCTATTCCAACCATCACATAATCAGAGTTTAAGTTATAGTTGTCATCTATGTTAGAATGTATTCAAGGGACATATTTTGGGAATCCCCGAATCTCCCCTGTAGTGAGGCCTTTGCAGCATACTGGGCAAAGCTATACAGTTATGGCCATTTATTAGTTACAACTGGTTATAAATGGGACTATACATTCTATAAATGGGGTTATAAGTACTTATAACTGGTAAAGGGCCATAACTGTATAACACTGTATAAAATGATTTTCCCGGGACCCGAAAAAAATGACGAGACCCCCGTCGCCCGGAGCAGAGACGGAGAGGCGTTATATGTTACAAAGTGTCAAAACTTATCATTTCCAGATCCCAGTATAGGCATATGCGTATGCAACAAGAAACAAATGACATTTTTATGTTACATATCATGCTTATCATAAAACATACCAAAAAAAAACAACCAAAATAAACCAAAAATAAACCGTATCGCATGTCCAACCTTTCAAGCCACCAAATCCTCATCCGATACGGAACCTGCAGCTTTGCCTTCTTCAGATCTGCCAACGTCGCTATGAACTTCTATGCAGCACATGGGTGTTTCTCAAAATGGGTGTACCCACAAATCCGTTGTTTTTTCCTTTCAACATGACAATGATTGAATGATCTTGCGACCCCCCAATCTAAGAAACCCAAAATAATTAGGTTTGACTGAAAAGAATTCACTTAACATCGTTCCCGATTGAAGTCGTTATTTCGACAGTATACCACACTTTCAAACGCACCTAAATGAGATATCCTCATGTTTGTTGTTGAAATCTCTGTTTTCGCCCAATAAAAAATCACCCATGTTTGATGGGTAAGTCCATCAAAATCATCCAGCGCCAAGTTTCATGCTTTTCATGGGGCCAAAAGGTCAAAAAAGACGCTGCCCGGTGGTGCCGCAATTGAGAACCATGCATTTGGCCCAAAGTTCGAGTGGGGAGGATATCCACCGCCCTTTGCACTACCTGGAGAAATTGATGGCACTGGCGCGTCTCAGTGAGGTTCAATGGATGTGGGAAATTCTAGAGGAAAATATGGTTCTTCTGAAATGTTATCCCCAAAAAATGGGCTTCGAGTTTCTGACGTTTTATGGTAACAAACATGTTTTTACCCCAGGTTGGATGAGCCTGCTCGAAATTGGTGGTTGTACGGCCATTTGATCAAGATTTATGCCTTGGTTGGTACAGTAGACATTCAATCCATACCAACTGGGTTGTGGGATGTTGTGGGTCACAAACCGCGTACCCTCTCAAACGCGGCAATTGGAAATCCGCTAGAAATGGGGGTTTCAATAGGAAAATCACCTATAAATAGAGTATTTGCCATTACCATGTTTGATTACCGGAGGGTACCATTGCATTCACTTCAAACTACTTCTAGTTGATAAAGCCGGACGTTCATCGGAAAATCATAGGCCTTGACAGTCAAACCCATGCCATGATACGCCAAGTGTTGTGAAAAATGACAGCCCCTTTGTTGTTGATCAATTAGCCGTTTCGCAAATGGCAAAAATGTTTTTCAAATGTTGATCAATCACATGTTGTTGATCAAATGGCTTAAACTTAAAACATGTAATCATTTGTAGATGATATCTAATATCTTGGATTTGCTTCAGGCCTCTCCCCTCAAACAAAATATATGCTGTGGATTCCCTAAATGATGTATTTGCCATCGGGAAAGCAGCAACTCACATGATATGGTAGTACAAGATCTCAGCCCGTCACTTATGTAAGAGTCTTGCCATCTCCACATCATTACCCATATGGCTATCTTTGCTATTGATTGTTTCAGTTCACCCAGCGGCACCAATATCATGTCCAGTATGAGTTGTTTTTGTTGATACTATATATATATATATTATGGTTGGTTAGCTATCATTGGTGAATTATGTACCCTCTGGTAATTTAACATAGCTATTGAAAATTGCCCATTTGTAGTTGATTTACCTATTAAAGATGGTGATTTTCCATAGTTATGGTAGTTTACAAGAGGGTATATCCCCGTTAACATCCCTTGTCTCCATGTCTGTCACATTTCTGTCGCTCCAGCCCCGCCGTCGCCCAGTCGATGTCCTCATGTTGCCCGCCTCCATGACCAGGTCCAGGGCCTCCCTTGCCGTAGCCCCAACCTGACCCACCAACTTTCAACAAAGATGGGAAACCTGAGAGAAAACCGAAAAACCATGGGGTTCCGAAAAACCATGGGGTTTTGGTCATGGTACCATCATCGTGGTTCCTTATAGTGGGTATGTAAACCATTTTATAACGACATCTATAAACCAATATAAACCAAATTCTATTCATGCCGGGGATGACCATCCCATTTTTGGGGGTAGGTCATCCAACTTTTATCGATGGACGATGTGGGTCAAGGAACCTCCTGATTTATTTATGGAATTCATGATTTGGAGGACCCCATATTCTTGTTACCCTCTGGTAAACAGCCACATAACTATTGAACATGGCCATTTATAGTGAGTTTTCCCATTTGAAATGGTGATTTTCCATAGTTATGTGGCTGTTTACCAGAGGCTATTGAATATTTGGGGGATGGGATTGCTAGATTGACTGGATCTATGATCAAGTGAAACCCTACCTTCAAAAAAAAAAGCTGGCATACCGCCTTGCAAAATGAATGCAAATGGCCGGACTTGCTGGATGATGATGCATTCTTGGCAGAGACCAACTCTTCAGGTTGGAGAAAGATTGGGCCGAGGAACAATGCAGTTATGGCCCTTTACCAGTTATAAGTATTTCTAACCCCATTTATAGAATTATAATCCCAATTATAACCAGTTATAACTAATAAATGGCCATAACTGTGGTCGGGCGAACACCCAAACTGAGCGCTTGAAGCTGCCCTCGTCACGTTCAGAGGCCAGGCCGAACTCATGTCCTCTGGCATCAACTCCTCTCCGTCGCCGTCTCCGGATGATTCACTGCCTTTTCTGTAAGGGCACAGAAATGGCTGAGGCACCGCGGAGCTGTTCCCCAACTGGCCGATGTGCAGTGGTTGCAGCTCAGCTGCATAACCAGACCATTGTTCATGTGACTCAGAAACTTCAGAAAGCCCGGAACAGAAGAGGAAAACACAACATCCTATGACAAAACATATACGGGTGAACCATCTGCAAGAATAAAATCTATCTGCAACTTAAAGGAGCTATGGAATCCTTGGGGATTCAATCAGTCAAGCGTCTTTCGACATTATGTTTCCCAATAATTAATTCATTCATGGCCAATCTTAGATTTATCATGTTATCATTAATCTAATTCCAACTTTCATTACAAATTTGAAGTACTCAACCTGTCATCCAAGATTCACCCGGTTCGCCAAATGAACCAAATCCCCAGGGCCGCGATCCAGGCCTGCGCCTTCTTCACCGAAATTGATGACACGTTGATAGTGTTGAAACTGCGCGGCTATAGGGCCGAGGTCACAGGACCTTTTTTGTTAAAGCCACATAGCTATTGAACATGGCCCAGTCGAAATAGTGAGGGCCTCCCAATAGAAATGTGGTGATGTTCCATAGTTCTGTGGTGTTTTCCATAGTTATGTGGCTTATTTTCCATGGTATTTTGCTCTGAGTATCAAAGACCCAGGGAAGCAGAAATGACATGAAATGACATGAAATGACATGAAATGACATGGTCCACCATCCGATCCATCATATGAATTTGTCGCTCGGATTTTGCGCATGTGAAGACATGGTCTACAAGGACCTCTTTAAAAATACCGCTTGGGTATATGCAGTCTGGACACAAACTGGTGATACTCTCCAACAAACATCTATACTAATGTTATACTAACACTGAAAAGGTTCTTTGATAGGTTTCTCTTGGTTTAGAATCTTAGAACTAGGCAAATAAATGGACTTATGGGAAAATATATACATTAGTATTATTATATATACATATATATATATATATATTTAAATGATCCAAACTTTAAACCGTATTCTGAAACAACTCCAGGCCGCTGAGAGTCATATCTTTCAGTTCATTGGATTTCGATTGGGATGTTGGGATCTAATCTGGTTGGTGGCTGACCTACCCCTGTGAAAAATGGTGTCATGGGAATTTTTGCCGCAAAAGATGAAGGGTTTTCCGCAAGAAAAATGGAGGCTTCTGGTTGGTGGTTGCTGCTAACTAACCTCTGATTCATGATGGAGTGAGTGAGTAACAGTTGGGATGATGACATTCCCAACTGGATTGAAAAATAGAACATGTTCCAAACCACCACTTTATTCCCACTTTAACGGACGCACTGCCAGAGTCGCACGCTGACAGTCCGCTTTGAGAGCTCAGCTAGACAGACGAAATCCATACCTGACAGAAGCGATCATCTTTGGTCGCCAGTGACAGACTGTCCAGCGCCTTCGAAGTTCTGTGGATACCAGTTGGGTAGTGTCTGAGGATCCAGAAATCAATCATCTTGAGTCTTTCAGGACACCATGGAAGTGCTATGCATCCGGTGTGAAAAAACAAGGATCGTGATTCAGGTCTACAGTATCGGTACAGAGGAGATGTTCCATGGTGGCGGAGACATTCCTTCAATACCTTGGTAAACCATCTCGTTCTCGTAGCAAATGGAATTGCCAGGAGATCAAGGTGTGGTGTGTGCCGACCAGCTTTCCAAACATCAATCTTCGTTGGCCCCATCTCACCAGACAGCATGAAGTCAATATATAATTGATAATGTGAAACCCAAACCAAAGCATCCACACTGCGATATGTTGATTGCCAGAACCACGACATGACCTGACGCACAACCTCGTCACCATACCACCTAACAGCTTGATGTGGAATGTGTAGGGGAGCAAGGTCACTCCATGCGTCTGCAGGTACCTCAGGTGGCACTGCAAGGTCTTCACATTCAACTTCATTTTCAACCTGTGTATCTCGAACTACAGCTTGACTGATCTTGAGCATGGTCCATTGAACTTCACGAGACAATTGCTGACACGCTATTGTTGCCTGTACATGTCGGTCAAAGAAACACCAAAACTCCTCTGGCCGTTTCCGCTGGGCCCATGTAGCAGCTTGGTCAGCCACGCTATTGTTCGCAAAGCACCATTCTTCAAGTGGAGAAACCGCACTTGTCTGCGTACGGTGGGCGGCAACTTTAGTGATAGAAACCTGTCCATGTGCAAAGTCTTGCAAAAGAAGGTAAATTTGGTTCCAGAGATCAGAGTGTGCACTGTTCGGTTTAGGTTCACGCCCTTGTAACAGTTTTTGCAACCTAGTGACCACAGCACTACAGTCAGACCACAAACAAACTTGCTCATGTTGCAACCTGGCAATGGAGAGAGCTCGGATCACTGCATAAATTTCCGCCCTATATGAACTCTGAAGCAAGCCGGGAAGTGGGCCAGAGTCTACCACCTCGGCTGGCGCATGATGGACACCATTGGCCACCACAACAGCCCAAGCAGCAAGCCGACACATAGGGGCAGCTTGATTCATACACCCGCCATCCGTGAACAGATGAAGCACTTGGGATATGGGTCGCAGGGGATTTACCACTGGACACACAATTGCATCAAGAGCAGAATACCAGGAGTGAAGAGTATGTGGTTTGACACTCCATCCATATCCAGTCAAAAAATCAGGCGCCTGGGGCAAAAGTTTCCAAACATCAGCAGAAATGCCACTACGCTCAGCAGCAAAACGTTCACAAACCCAAAAACGGTGAAAACGTGAGTCCGTGCAACCGCAGTATGGACACAAGTCACTTCCCCCATCTTGGCAATGTGCCTTCCCATCCCGGGTGATGTGGCAACCATTCAAGCATTTATGGAACAATTCCCTGTCTTCATCAGGCAACCCTTTAAGGAACACCCTGGTGTCAGCGGCATCTGCAAACTGCAAATTCTTGAATCCTGGGCGGTGAGCCACCTGTTGTGTGACCACAAATTGCCAAGCCCATTGAGCCCTCAACGTGATTTCTGCCAAGCAAGCATCAAAAAGGTCAAAGGAGCCCAGCAAGTCAAACACACAACCAGCATGGGTAATATGCCACCCAAGTTGATGCAGCCTCTTCAAAAGGGTCGCAGTGATACAATTGTCAGGGATGGGCCCTGGCATGGTAACAAGTTCTTTGATAGCTTTCTGGATTTGCAACCGATCACCACAATCACGTGCGCACCTAATTGTTTGCATGATAGCCCAAAAGCCCGGGTCAGCCAATGGGTGTTCTATCATGCCAAGCTGAAGCCAAGCATTGGAACCTGCTGCATCTGCCTCAAGTCCTTTCATTGCGCCCGCTCTCAACCCTTGGAATGCTGCATCACTAATAGATGTAGCTGCTATATGGCATGGAGCGCACGAGGCCAAGCTGCCACCAAAAGCGCCCTGACCTTGGTTTTGTACCTGCATGCTGAAAGTCTGAGCCGTGGCCAAATGGGGGCCATGCTGTTCACTCGGTCCATCAGAGATGCATTCGTATGCTTTCTGGACATTTGTACATGCGCACCAAGGTTTTTGGCTGAAAGGACAACAGCAAAGCCTTGAGTTTTGAGACGCTGACGCCCTTCAGAAGTAATTGACCAGGTATACGTCTTTTTGGGGTCAAGTTGCAAATCAACAGCCTGCACAAACCTGTCTAAGCAAAGTTTCGCTCCTTCAATCATGGAGCTATGGGAACACAAGACTTGCCAATCATCCACATACGTCAAGGCAGTACACAAAGGAAAGAAGGCCTGTTGCCATGAGTGGAAAGCAAAATCAATGATCAGCATCGCAACGCAGCTGAGGCCACACCCCTCAGGGAATCCTGTCACACTAGGGATTCCCGATGTCAACGAGCCACGAAGGAGGAACCTCCTGTTCATTTGCGAGAGTGCTCCTGCCCATCCAACTAGCACATGTCCTGGAATGCCAATGTGACCTGCAATCTCAAAGACTACCAGGCGAGGGATCATGTTGAACGCTTTCTGTAAATCCGCAACCAGCCCTGACATGTCAATGTGATTCTGGAAAGAATGTTCCACCGACCACAAAAGCTTGGCCCAAACCTGAGCTGCATACCGACCAGGCCGGCATCCATATAGGGTGTCAGGCAGGTGCTCATCGATCTGCTGCAGAGCTTGTCTGGAGTGAAATGAGCTCCAAGCCCTGTACAACAAGCTAAAAACTGTGATGGGTCGAAAATCTGCAGGAGAACCAGGCATGGCAATTTTGGCCAAACTGACAACTTTGCCCTCCGTAAGCTGGAGTGGCCATGCACCAGTACGTTCTGACTGACAAAACATGTCACAGAACACTTGGAGGACTGTCTCAGGCATGCTCTTCAAATCCTGCAAGGTAACACCATCTAGGCCATGCGACGTAGAAGTTTTCTTGCCAGCAAGGATTTTGGAGAGGTTCGTCGGAGTCATAGAACCCCAGTGCATGTCAAACCTAGGCAAATACCGTTTGGAAAAGGCAATGATGGCAGACCATCTGTCTGCCGGCACATTCTCATGACGCATCCAACGGCTCCTCCAGGCACGAACAAACTCTTCCTCCAGTTCCGCATGGGTACCAATAAATCGGGTTTGAGAGATCATGGAGCCTATGGAGACATCATTTGTATCCTCAAGCCAAACTGCATCCGAGTCATGATGAATAACTTTCAAGGGGACCCCATTACAGGAAATAACATGGTCAGCAACAAACTCACACGGTTGGTCCAAAACAACTTGACCCGTGTCGGCATCAATGGCTTCAACCTTGGCTTGAACCGGCTTGAGTAACACATCCACTCCTGGCACACCCTGCGGTCGAATATCAGAAAAAAACAAATTCGGATTCTGATCACGACGAAACTTGGCATATTGTCTTGAAGAACGACGAAGCTCAGTCTCAAGCGCACGAACAGCTAACCCAACCGATTCAAACATTGCCATTGCAGTGTTGGCATCAGGTGGATACACAGGGCATTGAAGGGGAGCATGAGCAGTTTTGAAATCACATGCATTCCACCAATCTTGAAAAGAGGGAGAGAAACCCACTGCATGTACTACAGCTCTCCAAGACTCAGCTTTCTGGATCGCAACTCGGCCAGTCAGGTTGGTCGCTAGACGGGCATAGGCTTGCAATCTCCTCACTTGTCTGATCCATTGCGCATGCTTCAAAGATGAGCCAAAGAAACCAGGTTGAAAGTCACCTTTCCTACCAACCTTGATTGGGGCAGAAAGGGTTTGTCGTGCAGGTTTAGGCTGTAGTCTCTTACCCCTACCACACATGGCAGCCGTGACAGGGGCAACAGAAACATCAGCAGCAGCTGTTTCAATGGTGTTCCACACATAGGCATATTGCTCAGTCATGCAATCCCCGGGCGGAGGCCACACAAGGTCAACTGGAAAGGACTGTGGCCAGACAAATTGCATCGGCTGAGGCCAGACCCAAAGGGATGGAGCATTCACTAGGCTG